GGCCTAAAACCGGCCTTCCGACCCTGCAGACCCTACTGAGGGTCGAAACGACACAGACCCTACACCTACGGACCCCTAGCCTACCTGGTCAGGCCCTGCTGGGCCCGTGTGGACCTGAGTACCAGAAGTTTCGCAGAGGGGGTTCTTACTGGTGGTTGGTTCACGAGTTCAAAGCCCCCGTCAACTCCACCTCTCCCTTTGCCCAACTCCACCTCTCCCTTTGCCCAACTCCACCTCTCCCTTTGCAACAAGACCAAAAACCGTGAGACAGCCCCTGGACATAAGGTCTACCATACACTCACTCTATCCGCAGATCGCGAGAGCAATAGGGCCACTGCCCATGCAATTTGCTCACAACGCAGGTAACAACCGTTTCCACCTAGGAGTGAGTCCCTAGTTACTTGGATCCTAACAAATGCCCAACACTTTCCACAAAGCTGTCCCTAGTTACCCATGTTCTTAACCCTTGAAACAATCCTTTGTGCGCAGGATTCCCAAGTTACCGAGGTTGAACAACCAATCCTTTGTGCACAGGATTCCCAAGTTACTGAGGTTGAACAACCAATCCTTTGCGCACAGTATTCCCAAGTTACTGCGGTTAACAATCTTTTGCTTGCAAGAGTGCCTAATTACTGAAGTTATTGACAGTGGTAACAATCCTTGCACAAGGGTCCATAGTTACTGAGGCTCCTAACATAGGCCAATTTGCACCCACAGCAGCAGTTGTTTTCCTTCAACTATTACAACCTGCTACTTCAGACCCAATTTCTCAGTGCGTTATGAGCATGCACACAACCAACACAGTAGCCAAGCTCCAAAGATGCTCATCCAGTGTCTTAATTTTTAGTTTTTTTTTTAACAGTACCTAATGGTTCTGGTCCTAGTGTGGGTCTTCTTTACCAAGTACACCCTCTTCTTCTTGCAGCAAGCAAAAAAGCAGTACATAACTCTCCTGTTCCGTGACCTTACATGAGTCATACCTCCCCTTCGTAAACCTCTTTGTTTTCCTTGATTCTGAGGCCAATTGCTCGGCGGAAATTCTCCATCAAAACTTCCGTTTTCTTCACTTCAGAAGAATACACTTCCGAGCCAACCATTGGGCAAAAGGGAACCTGCACACCACATCACCAAAGCCAAACCCAGAGGAGGAATAAACAATCAGCCTCTTCCACTGATCAAGCACTTCGTTGTGATGCCTTCTCTCTTAGAAAGCACGTGTGCACGCGAGCGCGCGCGCACACACACACACACACGAATACACCTTATGGAACCTGTGGACATCCGACTGTTCCTTGCTCTCAGTTTACCCAGCATCATATCACCACCATCTCCATTCACACTTCAGAGGTTTTCTTCACCACCTCCTCTTGGATGTCAAACATCAGAAACGAGCATCAGGAAACAAAATGACAAAAAGCTCAAAAAGAATGGTGCGTAGCATATTTGCAGCACATGACGTGCGTGCATGGTACACACGTGTAGGGTAAAGCGCACGTGCGTGCCACACCCCCTTAAATAGAGTGTACGAAAAAAATTGGGAGGGGCAGGGTGTGGTGGCAGACCTGGGCCCTTCCCTCGCAAAAATTGTACTGCACGGAAAAGGAAAAAAAAACGGTGCCATGCACGATAGCAACCCCCAGAAAATGTGTGTGTGAGTGTGGTGTGTCCCCTCGCTGACGATGGATTCCAGCAATCTTTGAGGTCCTATACAGTGGCCACGAGGGTGCCTTCTGCTTCTGGACAAAGGATGCTGCATCAGAGTTGCAAAGGCTGACGGTCGGTGCCCCTTGATTGGTCGGTGCCTTCCGGTCGGCGCCCCTTGATTGGTCGGCACCTTCCAGTCGGTGCCCCTTGATTGGTCGGTGCCTTCCAGTCGGCAGTCAGTGGCTCCCCAAAAAAGGAAAAAAGAAACGAAGGGGAAAAAAACTGTTTTTTGGGGGGGGGATTCCAGAACCCCACCAACACCCCCAACAC